ACAAAGTGCAAGAGATGTAAAATGTGCTGAAATGCCAAATAGTGTCGACCTTCTTCCAGAGGCGTGGCAAAGCGATCGATTTCTGTCCATTTGTTGTCGATTTCTCTGACAACGCTGCGGATTTGTCACTTCTTCAAATCGGTATGTGTACTTCCTACTGCCCGCATTTCAATGATTTCTTCAAAGTCGTCATGTTTTAAGGCGGCCTTATCATTTGGCCGCATTCATGCATGGTAACTCTGGAGTGACGAAACTGTGGATAGAGAAAGTATGCTATCGATGTGAAAAACCGCAGAATCAGGAGAAATACAGAGATGTGGAATCTGCAGAAATGCCGAAGCGTCGGACAACAACTTGATAGAGATCCCTTCTTCATATTCTTATTCTTATTTCTTCTTTTTATTCTTATTCTTTGGATCATGGCCATCTTCTCGGAAGCGGTCTCGAAGTTGTCAATCCCCAGTTTCGAGCTACGAGAAATGCTAGTGTTGCGGAATTTATGCAGATTCCACGTTCCTGTGTTTCCTGATTCCGCTGTTTTCAGTTTGGTACATTTACATTCTTCTATCCGCTGTTTCCTCATTTCTTCAAATCAGTACGCATACCTTCTTTTCCTTGAGATCCTGCGTTTCTCCCAATTCTGCAGTTTCATCATTTCTTCAAAACAGTACGTATACTCTCTGGTATCCGCAGTTTCGAGATTACTTCAAAGCGCCATGTGTGGAGCGGCCTGACTGCTTTTGCGTCAAATTAATATTAATTTCTTTGACCTCCACCCGTCCCGCTTGTTTTCTTCATGTATTAGTATACTCACAGCTGAGTTGCCTTATCCTTTTGCTTAATATTGTTGGGCTTTAAAGGCTGAGCCCGCATTCAAATTTGATGAGTTATGCGGCTCAAATACTTATAACAAGGTAGCAAGTAACCCCTTAGTGAAGAAAACCAGAAAGAAATCATAGGAAAGGCTCTATATAGAACCCCTTGCTTAACTGAGGTTGTACGTGCTCAAGGCGAAGAGAAGGTGCGGTCGCACGAGTTCTCACTTGTTGATATCAGCTGTTTTCCCTTATCACCTCACTCTCACCACTCGACGTGGAGAGAAGCAGCAGCGAAACAACCGCACCATCAGGTGACCAATAGGCAGCGTTCAGACTTGTAGCGCTACAGCGTCGCGCTACAGCGTCGCGCTACAGCGTCGCGCTACAGCGTCGCGCTACAGCGTCGCGCTACAGCGTCGCGCTACAGCGTAGCGCTACAGTTGTACCGAACTCCAGCTTTTATGTTTTTTCTTTCTGTATTCAACCTCTTCTCTTTGTTTCTCATATTTATCTGATAGTGAGCTCGATAGATGGCTTTGCTTGATGTCTTGCAGTGGTGCCTCACGTTGACTCCGATTACAAATTGTTCACTTTATTCACACTTCAACTACATTAACACGTTGACGACGATGGCAGACAATGGTGTCTGCCAGTATATTTTCTAAGAATAAAGATGGACGAACAGCCAAGTTCGTCGTAAACGTGTCCCTGGGGGTAGCTTGTACCTCTGAAATGAATACCACAGCTGCTTGGCGCGAACTACCTGGCGCCCGCGCCACAGGCGCCGGCGCCAAAATACCGTAAATCACCAAATTAGTTGAAAACTTGGTTCCTGGGGTAGTTCGACGCCGTGAACACGAATATCACAATCGCTTGCCACGAAACCGCCTGGCGCCCGCGCCACAGGCGCCGGCGCCAGACATTTGGGGCACAAGTCATGAAAGAAATGGCGAAAAACTTCCGTCAACGTAGCGCCTATTGCGCTCGCCAAGCAGTTTTGGGCCAAGAGGATGTAATATTCGTCTTCAGGAGGTCAAACTACCCCAGGAGACAAATTTTCAGCCAAATTTGCTCCCAGAGAAAAACTTGGTAAAAACTGGACTGATTTCTGAAGACTGGAGCAATAAAAGCTAAATTGTGTCGAAGATCGAGATTCGTATTCTCACCTTTTGCATTTCTTGAAATACTTTGACCGTAGCCATTCATTTATCCAAAAATTACTAAGTTTCTACGAAGAAAAATGTGCCGTCCCACGGGCAATTCATGAAAAAAACGGCTCGTCGTCAACGTGTTAAAATGCGAAGTAGAAAACAGGAGCTCACTATCAGATAAATATGAGAAACAAAGAGAAGAGGGTTGAATACAGAAAGAAAAAACATAAAAGCTGGAGTTCGGTACAACTGTAGCGCTACAGCTGTAGCGCGACGCTGTAGCGCTACAAGTCTGAACGCTGCCTTAGAATGAATGGAGGGCGGTGCCAGTGATTGTAGGTTGGGCCAATGAGAAGAACGACGGCATCGTGGCCTCCTCACTCGTTTTTGCGCCGCGAAAGTGGTGTAGTTGTTGCCTCTGCGGACCTGACTACCTGCTCACGAAGGGAGAGGAAAATCTCAACTGAACGCGGACGCTGCCTTTAAGTCATATTATGGTCTATTTCGTTTTCCGGTTCTTTACCCACAAATATCACTCAATTAACAAGTTCCGGGCCGCATGACACACATACTATGTACGAATTTGTCCTTATACAGGGGGGGGGGCGGGGAGGGAGGGAAAGACATATCGGCCGAGTCACATATCAGTAAAGCTTTCGCAGCCCAGACAGAAGACGTGGATACGAGTACCAGGGCGGAAGATACCCAAGATGTTCCTCGATAAGCAGGAGCAGGCTCTCGTCCATCACCTTCATGTACACCAAAATATGAAGTCATCTCCAATCGCAGCCGGACTGGAGAAGGCCTATGGAATTCACGTCCTCCAAACAGCTGCGAAACTTCTTGTATGGAGCCACCCATGGAGGGCTACCTGGAGACCAGTACTCTATCTGGAAGATGTCTCGTGGTGACCATATCGGACGTCGCCACGGTCCAGGATATCATCTTCACCGCAGTCGCCAAGGCGCGGGTTGATGGTATGGACCGGACGTACCTGGAATGGAAAGACCATATTTTCTTCGTGGACCCCGTGGAACGCTGGCGGTTACATTGAGCAACTCATATCCTGCCTTAATGTCGCCGCGTGTACCATCTTGAAAACTTTGTACTGCTACAGGATTGGTGCCTCCATTTAATCGAAAGACGTTGGAAAAAACTTTCGCCTATCGGAAAGGAAGGACATTGAGTACAGACGGAATATTTAAGTGTGTCACCTGACCTAAACCCCTCGATTACTGGGTTCAAGCGGAGCTCAACAGGGTGGTCTACAGTGGCGGAGAAATCAACGACCTCGCTGAACTCAGGCACCGAATCACGGTCGCGTGGCAGAATCTCTCGATGGCGTTCGTCCAGAAGGCTGTGGCGGAGTATCATGATAGTGTACAATGTGCTGTTGAATATGATGGTGGAAATGTCCAATCAGAATTTAGTAAAGTGTAGGTTATATCGCCTTGAAAGTCAAGGAAGAAAAGCGTCTTTTTTTGCACCTTTCCCTTGTAGATGGGTGGAATATGAAGCAAAAATTTATATCCTCGAATAGTGCCGTATTTAGTGCCCGTGACGAATATTGCCGAGATTATGGGCATAAATGCGTGCTGAGAATGCCGTTCAGGAAAACATGGTTTGAAATCGTTCCATTTATGAAGAAAAAAAACATTTGATATCAGTTCTTTTTGACGAAACTAATCAAAATGCGACATTTGGGATAATTGCATCGGAAGCGTTGTGATGATCATTTCTTGATGTTGCTACTAAAGTTGTTGGGGACGATCAATGAAAAGTCGGATAGCGTTTGCGAGTTCATATCTGGACCCCATAGCCTATGAATTGCAAGTATGGTATGTGACGTGTCTCGAGACGTCACTTACGGATTCACGTCTTACAGGTAATTCGCTGCGGACGGTTGGGCGTGCTAGGCGGGATGAGATTGGTTTAGTTTGGCCTAACCCGTTCTCCACCAGTTTAGGCCGCGTTCATAAACAGCGCCTCCGCGGCCTCCGTGGCTTCCGCGGAATTTCCAAATCGATACGTATACTTTGCTCAAAAATTCCGCGGAGGCCACGGAGGGCGCGGAGGGGCTGTGTATGAACGCGGCCTTAAAGTGAGCAGAATGATCTGTCTGACAGTATCATATCGTTCGTGTTGCTCGTTTTCTAACTATTTGTCGCATGCATGCTTCAACAAGAAGGCAAAGAACGGCTTTAAGGGGGTGACTCACTCATAGTGCCCGACACGCCCAGCCGTCCTCAGCGAACTAGAGTATATTTCACGCGCTGTCTTTCGGAAAGTACCATGCTGTGCTACGCTTGCGCCATTTCTATTACTCTCGGACCCGATTAAGAAACTCACTTTGGTCGACCTTGTCCTGTCCTGTAGCTTCATTAGAACCTGAACATAACACAGAGTGAACGTTGAATGTTCTCAAAACCACGCAAAATATGAGAAAAAGTAAAAGGAGCTTTTGGGTTTATGTTGAGAATAAACCGGAATAGTTTACAATGAAGTAGTCTTCGGAACTACTTCATTGTAAACTATTCCGTGCTTCTCTCCGAAAAATAACGTTTTCCGAAAGTAGTCTTTTTCTGAATCACGTCGATCCTGAGCGTGTTTACGTCCACAGGACGAGCAAGTCCACAAATCACTTTGAAGAGGTCAAATCGGTATGCTCTAGAAAGCTTGGAAAATACCTATTTTCCCCAAGTCCTGTGTTTGCTAGCAGCTCCAAGGGTTGAACTTGAGTCGCAAGATAGAGTGTGTTTTCGTCGACCGCTTCAGTGAGTTCTATCAAATAAAATAATGCACTCTTGAATACTTTTTATCGATCGAATGCAAACCTGTTTGCAGTTCGTGAAAACCCTGATTGACCCCTCGCTGAGTTTTTTTTCCTCTTCACGGAGTCGAATTGTCGTGGATAAAAATTCACTTGGATTGAATGAATTCGAGTATCTGCGCAACTAAATAATTTAACTATCTGCTATCTACGATGTATCACACTTCTTGTTTTTTTTTCAGAGATTGGAGGTGTCCAGGTATGACTGATGATGGAGACTCTCGCATGGAGATGGAAGAGACCGATGACCTTTCTTCGGAGCACATCGAGCAGGTCTGTTCCGAACTTCGTGTAGTTTTAAATAGCGCGTTCATACATTGCGGCTGAGGAGATACGGCGATTTGAGCGATTGCGCGACGAGGAACGTATAAGTACACTATAGTTCACTGCGGACGGTTGGGCGTGTCAGTGCGGCTGCGTTTGGCGCGGTGCCAAACTCGTTCTCACCAGTTGTTGAAGCGGGCAAGTGACAATACTGTATCATATCCTTCGTATTACTCGTTTTCTACCACTTTTTGTCGCATGCGCGTTTCAACAAGAAGGCAGAGAACGGCTTTGACGGTGACACACTCATACTGGCTGACACGCCCAACCGTCCGCAGCGAACTATAGTTATCTACTTTGAAAATTTTAGATTGGGAGCCTCGTAGTTTCGAGCGATTCTCCCAACCCGACCAGGCATCCAATCGGGAGAAGTGGCGCAGCGTAGTAAAATAGCGGACAGCGCCTCACAGCGGGACAAACGCTGAAGAAGAAGATAGTTTCGAGCGATTGTGCGCCAAGTGAGTGTGTATGGATCGGCCCCAGTTGCGGAGATTCAGCGACCCTGTGATTTGGGAGATTGAGCGATCAGGCGATCTGGGAGAATGGGTTTCTCGATACCAACAATCGCCAGATCGATTACTACACTTTCCTCTTTGGGCAATCTCCGAAATCGCCAATCTCCCAAATCGCCGAGTCTCCCGAATCGCAAAGTATAAATGCGGACTTAATTGTTTTAGAGGGCGAGCTTGAAAATAATTGATGAAAAATTCAAAGGAGCAAAGGCAGCGCTGAATGTTCTGTTTAGTTTTTTTGAAAGTAGTATCTGTTCCCTAGAAATGAAAACTATTCTGTTGTCATTATAAGTGCACGAAATTGCGCACAGGAGATGTTGCCAACATCGCTTTGAGTTTGCATTTCAGGTGATTGATTGCAGTGACCTTCCAGCACCAGCTGATGGACAATATGGTAGCGATGATGAGGATCAGCAAAGCACCTCTAAGTACGTAGGTGTGCTCTTAGTTGATTTTGCTTTACATTATTACTTTATGCGGTGTGTGGTTCTCCATATT